TTTTATTTTTTTATTTATGTGTAACTTGTTATATGTGTTTATGAAATTGCATTTTGTTATTTTGCCTGATTTCTTTGTTGCATTGATTCTGTTCATTTCGAAATTACTCTACCAGGATGCATGTCATGCAATTTGTATAATTTATAATTTATTCAAATGCGGATCGATTTCACAGTTTACACGTTTTCTCTTCTAGGTAACGCCCCATCCCCTCCATCACCGTCCCCCCCCCCTCCCCTTTCCTTCTCCCCCCTATCTTTCTCCCTTTCCCCATAACATACATTATGTTTAACTTATCTATTGAGGAGAGGACTTTATTAAGTTGTAATAACTTGTTGTCCAATCCATTTTTATATTTGTACAATAAAATATATTTAAACTAAAAAAAACACACATAATATTGAATATTTAAACAACGAAAAATAGCCGGTATTGCGATATTTTTCAGTAATATCTAGAGACATTTATTTATTGTATGAAAATGTCATGTTCTCTTGAAAAATATATTGTCGAACGAAATCGTCCCTCAAAACGATTTTAAGGGGGCCCAAACCTATCGTTTGAATTTGTTTGACATGTTTTTAGCACGACTAAACATTTTGAGTTCAAAGAAAGACAACTCGAATACACATGACAGGGACCTTTTCCTTATGCAGAACAACCGGTTGTCCATTTTTAAAGTAACGTTTTCGGGTGTAAATCCACAGGCATTTGTTTCTGTCAATAAAAATAGTAATGAGAAAATAAATCACACCCTGGTCCAACGGGTTCAACCGTTTGGGTCGCGATAAACGAAAACGACCCCGATGCCTCACAGTCATTTGATGACAGAGTGCGACATACCACAACACAGGTCCACAACCTCAATGTCAAGGTCACAACAAGGGGTCAAATATCAGATTTATGGTTTTTACTACAAAGCTCAAATAGTCGGTGGGGAAAGGTCTGTACCAGAATGTAAAGGTCAAAGCAAGAGGTTAAAAATCTCCGGACACAGATCTATAAACCAGGTAATGTCATCCTATGAAATAGCGAAGTTGGGAGTCCCACAGGGAACTGTTCTCGGTCCAGCCTTATTCCTTTTATATATGAATGATCTTAAATCTTAATCTCGTCCTTGATGAAGGGCAAACTGATCTTTTTCGGCAGACGATGCAACGATATCCTATCAGTCTGACTCAACCACAAATATCGCCACACACCTCAGTATTACATGTTCTAAATTAACAGATTGGTGCACTCAAAATAACAACGAAAGCAAAACAAAAGCAATGATCTTTTCCACTAAAAAGGATCTGTCGCAATTTTCCCTAGACGATATCAACAATAAAAGAATCGTCAGTGTCGACTTACAAAAACTTTGTATGTATCGTTATTCAAAGAGACTTCACATGGTAACATCAAATCGAGCACGTAGTATCAAAATGGAATTCACTTTAAGTCTTCTACGTAGGTGAGCTAAACAATGCTCTATAAGACATACACACAACCACATATTAAACTGCTGTTGAACAATCTGGGGAAATACTACAGTTGATAATTTCAAAATACAACAAGAGTACCGCGGGGCGGAACAATATACGCCCGTCGAATGCCATAAAGTGTTATATATATTTTCTTACATTGAAATACGATCTGCATCATTCTAAGGGTGATTAGCTGACATGCTATAAAAATGTAGAGAAAATCTCTTGACAAAAAAATCAAATACTGAAATGAACAAAGGGCAATAACTTTGCAAAAATCGTTGTTTCAAAATTCTTTTAAGGGAGACACAACTTCAGATTATGATTATAGTGTGTATTAAGTTTCAAAGAGATCCGTTGAAAAATGTAGGAGGAGATTGCCGGTCAAACAAAAGTTTACACTGGACGGACAACCCCATACCATAATACTTAATAAGATAATTTGACGGGCGTATAAAAGAACTGCTTGTGTTCTTCTTAATTATCCAAATAAATCTTCTAAGGAATCCTTCCAAAAACTTGACATTATGCCTGTTTCACTTTGAATACAATTTCAGAAAGACGTATTCATGTATAAAACATTAAATAACCTTACAACAAACTATCTCACAAGGATGTTCGAGTTTTGCCAAATGACCCATGAACACAATTCTCAATCATTTACTGCAAATAATTTATTAATATGTCGTCCCAAATCGAACTGTTTAAAAAGTCATTCCAATATTCGGGCGAGATCATATGGAATGCACTTCCCGCAGAAATAAAATTATCAAAGACTTTGAAACTTTTCAAAAGTCAATATAAGTAAATATTGCTGTTAATATCTCCCTTTATATAAGGAATACTTTCTTGAGATTTTGTTATAAATATTTGATATTGTATTGTAATATATGTATACCTGTTGTTGTTTGACTGCATTGTTAAATGACATATATGTACATGTACAAGTGTAGAGGACCTTTTGGAAGATAGGTACGATCCTAAAAAGTTATCCTCTTTAATTAAATAAAGTTTTTATTTTTATCATATTATTTTTATTATAGCTGAAATACTATTAGATGAAACCAAGGAATTAGATAGTTCCGTGATGAACCTTGTTGTTTTTTCAAAATGTATATCATTATTTAAGCTTGAAATAACGGTCCAGACTAGCCAGACCGACACCAGACTTCGACATTTTGACATTTTGACCACAGGCTGGTCCAGACAAACTTTTACAGTTAAGTCCCCCCATAGAAGGTCACAGTGATGTAACTGCAGTACATTGCACATTCTCAATGGGCAATACATTTACTAGGCCTAGGAATCACCAATCAAAAGTTAAGCGAAGAGGAGCTTTTATTGAAAGTTAATTATTTGACTTTTAAACTTAAGTTGTTTATTGTAAGTTTCATATAAATATAAATATATCTTTATGATTTTCGTCTTATTAACAGCTAAGGCCATTTAAGGATAAGCCAGGTTTTATCGGTGGAGTAAATCCATATTGCTAGGAGATGGGATTCCACCGAATCATTTTTAAGCAATTTTGCTCTCCTTTTCTGTTCATTATTGGATAAAAATGAATAAAAAAAAAGAAGATATACCAGACTTTCACATTGTCTTCAATATATCATCCTAATCGGTTATGAACTACATGCAGGTGATGTGTGATTTCTATGTGAGAATACATAATTTACATAATCTGAAACTTTAACACTGACAGGTCAGTTAGGGCCCCGTCTTGTGGCAATACATCCCCCATAATCATCAAGAAGCAATCTGCCCATATAGCTGAGCTTGACGTTTGACATGTGGACTTTAAAAAGAATCGCAAGGAAGCTAAATATACATTTTACATGTACTATGATGTGTCTTGTTTCCTTCCACCTCCAAATTTGCTGGGCGAACAGAAATGTTTATACCAGTACAATACTCATTTGTTAGCTTTGATTTGTTTTATTTCACCTCATATACCTCCTCCATCAAGAGCCAAGGTCAAAGTCAGAGATCCACTTTGTCTTTGACCTTTGGACCATAATGACCTTGACCATTAACCCAGCGACCCTGATCTTTGGTCAGTTGACTTATTCTTTAATTCCGACCAACTTTGCTTCATAATATCATAACAAAATGTTCATCAGTAAAAAATACAAAACTTGACCTTGACCCTTTGGACCCCGTAACCTGGACCTAAAGTCGATTGACTCTGTGTTAAGTTCTGAACAAGTTTGCTACATAATAACATAAAATGACCTTGACATTAAGTCAGTTGACTCCTTTTTAAATTCGGACCAACTTTGCTTAATAATGTCATAACAAAATATTCATCAGTGAAAAGATACAAAATTTGACCTTGACATTTGACCCATTGACCTTGCCCTTTGGTCAAATGACTCCTTGTTTAATTCCCACAAACATTGCTTCAAATTGTCATAATGAAATGTTCACCAGCAAAAAATACTAAATTTTACCTTGACCTTTGACCAAGTGACTTTGACCTTAGGTCAGTTGACTCTTTGTTAAATTCCGACCAACTTTGCTTCATAAAGTCATAACAAAATGTTCATCAAGGAAAAGATACAAAATTTACCCTGACCTTTGACCCAGTGACCTTGACCTTTGGTCAATTGACTCCTTGTTTAATTCTGACCAACATTGCTGAATCATGTCATAACAAAATTTGACCTTGACCTTTGACCAAGTTACCTTGACCTTTGGTCAATTGACGTCGTTTAATTTTGAGCAACATTCCTTCAAAGTGTCATACCAAAATGTTCACCAGTGAAAAGATACAAAATTTAACCTTGACTTTTGACCCAATGACCTTGACATTTCGTCAGACTCCTTGTTTAATTCTGATTTACTTTGCTTCATGTCATAACAAAATGTTCATCAGTGAAAAGATGCAAAATTTTGACCTTGACCTTTGATTCTAAGGACCTTAACGTTTGACCTAAACTTTTTACCTCAGTATGTCTTTGTTTAATTCCGAACAACTTTGCTTCAAAACGTCATAAAATGCGCATTAGTGAAAAGCTAAAAAAATGACCTTGACCCCTGACCCAATGACCTTGGGTCAGTTGACTCCTTGTTTGATTCTGAGCAACATTGCTTCAAAGTGTCATACCAAAATGTTCACTAGTATACTATAGGGCACCTGTATCTCTGATACGGGGCCCTAATGAACAGTCAATACAAACGTTAACTGTATACTAGCCATACTAAGGTGAAATAGATCGACTTAATGTAGCTTTACACCAGCTCTTTACCAAGGACAAATAAATTGATCAATCAGACAATCTTGTATTGGAGTGTATCGCAGAGGAATGGAATATTCATCATTGGTAAAAAAAAAGGTTATAAAATGGTTAAGTAATAAGATGGTTAAAACAATTCTTTGTAACTGGAAATATTGTGGGTTTTTTTTCAAATTTAAGAATATCGTATATCACATATATGTCAAATTATGGTCCAGACATACTTTTTTCAGAACCAGAAGAAAAGGAACCAGTAAGAAAGCAATAGAAACAACTAAAAAAAAAAAAGAAGAAATATCTGCAAAATGTTATTTATTAACTGTACAGAACCCATGCGTTCACTTTTACACTGAACCATCCGTTGTCCGATACAACCACAACTTGTTACTCAAGAACTGTACAAATGAGTATGCAAAAACAACAAGGAATACATGAATTGTGCCGATATGATAATGCAGGGTAATAAAAGCATAATACGACAGAGCATGCAAAAGGTTAATATATCTAACTCAACACTGACCACTGAAAAAACATTTACACATCTTTATCTGCTATTATGAGATGTATTTGGTTAGGTAACTACTGGTTTTTTATATGTAGTAATTTTAAATTGAACAAACTAGTACATCAGCCGTTCTTGTTCTCCAATGAAACTCCCAATGAATTTATAACAGCAGCATGTATACTAAGATTTTGGCCCACATGGTCGAAAGGTAATGATATTGGTCCGAGGTTTACCCTCTTTTGTGATTCCACTGGGACTATTGTGGATTTTTACAAATTTGTAAAGTTCATGGCAAGACAATATAGAAAGCGTTGTGATTGGGATGAATTTCCGATCATTATTGGTTAGAAGTGATGTAGGAAGTGCCAATACTATAGAAAATATAGATCCTTTCCAATTTAACAACTGAAATACACCAACACAGTCATACAATAATTCATTAAAAATAATATGAGTATGATGGTAAATGTCATCACCAATAAAATTTCATATACTTCAAAAAAAAAAAAAAAATCTGCTTCAGAAAACTTGTGTGATTTGAAATCAGAAAACTCGATAAAACTGAAATAATTTACATGGATATGATTTGCCATTTTCAGGCCATTTTCTCATCAATCAAGCACCCTCCAAACATTTAATCTGATCAAACAAATACACTAATAGCCACTTATAATCATTTCCTTAACAGTAGTTTTGAATTTTTTCTTTACAAGTTAGTCAAACTGTAAACGGTGTTATCTGAAACGTTAATTTGAAGAAAAAAAAACAATTTTGTTGAGTGATGCGAAGTTTTTAAATTTCTGTCCTCAATTTTTTCAAACAGCAGTAAGTGTTTATACAGAAATACTTTTGTAATTCATACATACCACAGCCAACATTCTTGCACAATCTCATACTTTGAAACATAAAATACATTAATTCTACACCTATGTACACCGATTATCATCAAATATGATTTCAAATCAGTCTATAATAATATGCAAGCTGAATGCTTTTCTTACAATAGTGATTTAAGCATAAGATCAGTTTTGAATTTTTAAAAAGTGACATACCTTTTCACATCTATTATTAATCCCCTGTATATTTGATCTTGATGAATACACTTCTAACTACTTCATTAAGCAAAAAGCGACAGCAACTTGACTAGAGTTAAAATCTACTAAATTAGGTTAAAACCTACATTCAAATATTTAACTACGTTGTCCAGACAAAAACAAATATGACATAAATGTATTCTCTATTTAAAAATTATATTACCAGTTATCACAGTAGTTTTCCAACCAATTTCAGGAATGCCAATAAGAATCTGAATAAGGTATGATTGTTATCATTTAACACATTTTTAAATAATAACTGATACAGATTTATTGTTTTAATTTTTCCAAAAAATAGCTAATTATTTATTCAATTTTCATATACTTTTGGACATCTGATGTCATGTAAAAGATGAATGTGGCAAATTGTTTTTGTACAGACACACTGTAAAGGTTTATTATAATTGTTTATATTATATGTTGTCTCAAGTGTTCCTGTCGGCATTGCTAACAAGGACAATGTAATGTCACCAAATCCAAAACAGCAGCACCAAACACACCAGAAACTCTTTCACACCACCCTCACTTCACAAACCTCGATTTGTCTTCAATGTAATGGGCAAAATATGCAATGATTTAAGACCACAACAAATGCTTTAGGTTACAATCAGGAAAATTCAAGTCAGCCATGCGATAATTCATGACAGCCATGAGAAATTTCTTTTGTACCATTTAAAGTATTCAATAAATAACCTGGTCCAAGAAAATACCTAGATATCCATTATACACACACCATATATCTCAGGTTTGTTTTATTTTATGATGGTAAGTACCTGTCCACTAAAATGCCACAATGTTTTGTATATCTGCATAATAATATGGTACATTGACACTCTATCCATCTCCCAATAGCCTTAACGGCCGATTTCCTTGATTTTTTCCTATGATGTTTATGCTGGTAGAGATATCTTCTTGCCTCGCATCACTGCAAAATAAAAATAGGATTACATTTATTAGTATATAACACAGATCACTCTTCATCGCATCCACGAACAAAATATTAGAAATGTTTACATATGTTTGGGTTGAGACAATGTAAATGAGAATTCATGCAGGGCTTCAAAAAATAAGTCAGTAGAACAATTCCATACTTGTATTAATTGCTACGCTTTCTTTATTAATATTACACGCCTGATGAACTAGCAGGATAAATCTCAATCTATGAGACTGACTGGCTTAATTTCATCCAAATGTAACCTTGAGAAGAGATCTTCATGATAAAATAATAAACGTACATAAATTAAAGAAAAGTCTAGCCCTGTCATGAAAAAACACCCCTAATGAAATTTATACTTATCTTGCAAAACTTTTTATACTGATACAACATAAAAGTATCACATTCGAGAACCGAGAGAAAAAAATGAGTTGAAAATGACAAGCATTGATAGATAGAAACGACAGACAACATCAATGGCTTATGCATAAATATATACATTGCACTAATATTCTGTTGCCTATCTCTGTACTTCAGATATATACATTATGCTTAACCAATCAATCTTGAAAATAAAAGTAAGCAGTATTAGTCGATGCTTGCCAAAACCTGATCGTGTACTTAATCGCTTTAATCAGGCATGCATGCAAAACAAACAGCATTAGACCTCACTGCAATTTATAAGTTATTGCAATGCATCAACCTGACCTACCAGATATTTTGAATGATATATGAATTATTTTAATTTTGAAAGACAAAACAATTTTTGAAAGGAGAAGAAATATCAAACAAAAGCTGTAAGCAGTAAAGAGTAACTTTACATCAACTCAACATATAAAGAGAATTTGAAAGTAGAACACATGATTGTGAAAAGAAACTTGTCGAATACAATTATATTACTCTCAATATCCATATACAATTATACAGTACTCGGGTATCCTATACACAATATAATCATATAACCATGCATTGTGTGTCCTTATAACAATGCTATTATGTTTCCCCCCCGAGTGTCCTATTATAGCTGTTGTAATGTTGTAAGCCGTAAGGTATGTGTGTATTATTAAACCACAATAGTCAATATTGGCTTCATCCCTACACAAAATGTTAAGAGTTACATGCCCTTGCTCTTTCAGCCATCATTCACCTAAATACAGGTACATGTCAAAATTAAATGTATGTTTTACTCGGTTACCCTGACAGTGTATGTTAGATCCATCAAAGTGACATGCAAGCAAGGTATCACCAAACATACAAACCTTAGACACACTCACAACAGTTTGTTAAAGAGCATATACTTTGTATCTTGTCCACACAACCCAATATTATTACTGGTTTGGCATGCAAATTATAATACACTTGTAGTTAATTTCTTCTATTACTAACACTTGTGTTCAATGGATACTGTGATACAAATCTGCCTCCTGGAATCTACTTGTACAATAATCATTATTGTGGATACCATTTTTATATTCTAATAGAATTAATCTATAAAAAGATAACAGCTATGGCAGTGTTTTTAAACATAATTTAAAAACATCTGCTTAAACCACAAACTGATGTTGGCAGATATTCATTCTAAGGTATGGTAGAGACTATAAGTACAGGGTAGTAGAGAAATATACCAATCAATTTCCTCCAGCCATCTACCTGATACAACACTATTTTTCTGTGTTTGAATTCAGCAGGTATGATTAAATAACACAAAAACATCCTTGCCACTCCAATGATGCTGTTAGTAAAATGTGTAAAGGTTTCATTAAACAGGGGTAAATAAAACAGACATGGTTTTATGCTTCTTTAGAACAGTTGTCTAAACATTTAAAGTGTACAATTAAAATTATAAAACACTACAGCTAAATGCAAGCCAATATACAAATCTGCAGGAATCTGGCCATACCATGAAACCCTCAAATTAATGAGATTATACTGAAAATGCAATCTAACCTTTAAACTTCCAGCAATGGGGCATCCTTGAAAACAATCTCGTTATTTGAAAACAGTAGTGATCCTTTGCCTGAAATAGTTCAAAGGCAACCTTTACCTAATTTAAGAATAAATAGTCTTTTTATTTCACTAAATTTGCTAATTCTTAGTCAATTTTGGTAATACATGTACCACCTTTCTGTGTAAAATAAATTAAGTCAGATTTCACAATAATTGATGACTGGGCTTCTTATCTGTAGTGTGCGTCCTGCATTTTTAAGGAAGTACAATATCTTCAATCACGCTTCTTATAGCCTTATTGCATTTGGATGCAAAACTCTTTCAACAAAGCATGCAAGAGATTAATGACAAAATCCTGTTGAAAGTGAAAAGTAGTTCTTGTCTCAACCCAAACAGCTATGAACATTCTATTACCAGAAAATAAATGTATACATTCCTGAAATAAACCATACTTTGTTCAAAGTGGATTATTTGAACAATATTCGTGATATATGTGAAGCATATACATTTATTTTATCTCATGTACACAAAGGACTTGGACATTTTAGGTCATTTTAGGCCTCATTAAAAGTAAAAAATTCAACTTAAAATAGTTTACCAATACATTTTATAAACATATTGGCAAATTGGGCAATTTTTTTCCCTGGAGCAGATATTTTCATTGTGCATGTGTAGATGCTACACCATAGCAAAAAAAATGCATTGCTATGCAGAAACAGCCAAAATATGGTGTTTTAGGACAGTTTACATGCAAAAATGAAAGCCTCTGTATATGACAACCAAAATGTCCTTTCTATACTGGTATAACAATATTTAAGCATGTCAAATATTTCTATGATTGGTGAATGCAGATCCTTTAAAAAGGTCACCTGTATCTGTTGTCGAATGAATTTGAAATTTCATATTTCTGTACCTTTATTTAGTCCAGATTACCAATATAATTCCCAATTCTAAATTCATGATGAGGCAGAAATTGACCCTTAATGACCCTAGTCCTTTGGATGCGATCAACGGCAATATTTAATTAATAACAAAAGTTATGTGAGAATATAAAACATGGATATGTATGGCACGAGAGCCTTTTAAGTTTAATATTGATAATTGTGCTGTGTAAAAACGACGTACCCTTCGTGATATACAAATAGAAGAAATCACAGTAAAGGATGGTCTGTACAACTCCTGCTACAACAGCAATCAAGTCGAAGAATCCATCAAAGTAGTACCGGTACAGCCAGTTGAACAGGTAAAGGCACCTGTAGGACCCTAAGGCAAACAGGTAGTGACTTGTTATCGTCTCTGCTTCACCTGTCTTACTGACCATAAAGAGCTGGGGTAGAATGGCCACAGATTCTAGATAGATTGAGAAGGTCCACAGGATCTGCACAGGAAAGAAAAGGGTTAAATTGAAATAGATGTTTGTGATTACTGCAACACTTAATAAAAACACCACACTCTACAAAATACATTAATATTTCATTATTCAGAGTCCCCTTTCACTTTATTCTGCAAAATAACTTTTAGAATTTGATAAAAATTTCTAGGAAAATTCTTCATTTATGAAAATTCTATTTCAAAATCAATGGTTCACAAAATAAATACAAAGTTTTTAACAGTAATTTGTTTTTTTACCATACACTTATTGTAAAAACATTAATGGCACGATGCATTCATCACTTGTAATAATTACAGAATTTCAAATAGTGTTATTTAGTTAAAAGTACTATTATTATATGTAAATGGTACCTCCATAGGTGAAAATTCATGGTTGACAAGGAAAGCCAGGCCTCCAACAGGTGCAATTAAAAACAAGATACGGAAAGTGTCATGGTTACTGTCATATGTAGGCTTGAACTTGAAGTACATCAGAAACACGGTCAGGAAGGAGGACACGATGAAAAACAGCTTCATGGATGTGTTATATACAGAGATGAATGACGTAAATAGATCAAGGTACCGTGTCACAAAAACCATCGCAAATAGGATCTGACTTTTCCCGGATATACCTGAAACAAACAGTGATATAAAGATAAGGTTCTTTGATATTGGTACAGCTAGGTACATACACAAATACTGGTTAATAAAGAGCTGATGTGTATCATGTTGAATGAAAAGATCAACAAAAACAGCATGTTTACCTGAATTTTCCATCTATGTTTACTGTTGCCTTATTGAACTGAACACATACACATGTGTTCAGCATAATAAGCTTTATTGATTATAGCATAGTGTAGAGTAGCCAGTATGTCATTCAACAAGCTGATTGGTGTGCTAGAAAGGCTAACATTACAGCATATGAACAAGATGTTGCTTTGTATACAACTCAATAAATGTGTCTTATTACAAAAATTAACCAGACGGTTGAGTGGTCGAATGGCGCATTGGAATATTGCACTCGCCTTTCACCAAGATGAATCGGGTTTGATTCCCTGATCGGATGTGGAAAGGTATGGGTCACCAGCCGAACCACCTAGGGTGGTCGGGTGGTGCAGTGGATAGCGCACTTGCCTTTCACCAAGGCGGCCGGGGTTCAATTCCCCGATCAGACGTGAAAAGGTTGGGGTCACCTGCCCGACTACGTGGGTTTTCCCCGGGAACTCCAGTTTCCTCCCACACTTACACTCCCCTTGCGCTTACATTCAAGCCAACAAGAGTGATTAATATAAGATGAAATAACTTGTTTCATAATTGTTGTAAAATAAATAAAGTTTATATTTTAACCTGATTTTTGTCGGCTCTAATTTCCTCCCATACTAGGAACCTCTGCACACTAACATCTGGGCCAACAACAGTGATTAATATTAGTTGATTAATAACTGGTTTCATAATTGTTGTAAAATAAACACAGTTCATATATATACTTGACTTACCAACCATATGCACTTAATGTCAATCTACCAATCCAACTTTTTATGATACTCTGAACACTTAAAAAAGAAAATTCTGCTATACAATATATTTTCAGGGTTTGGGTAAGAGACTAAATATAATTATTTGAAAACAAAATGGCAGAGCCCATACTGCATGCCAATGGCTGGTGCAAAATGGACAATTTTTATAATGGATATATGTGGAGGTTTTTTTTAACTATTCATTAGCATTAATCTTGGCCCAGATGATCACGCAATGTGGGAGGAAACCGGAGTTCCCTGAAAAAACCCACATGGTTGGGCAGTTGACCCGAGCTGTTGCACATCCAATCATCAACTTTGTTGAAGGAAGACAGAATTCGTCAGAACTGGATTGGATTGGTCACAGATAACTGGACTAGGTAGTGTGCAGGTGGTTAGAGTGCCTGCCTAAAATTTGGAGGTATAAGGTTTGAACCAGGGACAGGCTTTTTTTTTCATGTTGAACCTTACACTATGTAGTTCTATAAATACTATTTCACTGATATTTAGTGCTTAGTTTTACAGCCAAATACTGGCTGCTTTTCTAACAATAAAGTGTTTTATATTCTCAAGATTAAGAAGAACTAACGATTTTCTTCCAAATTTCAATAATACTATATTTTTTTTCATTCAAGGAACAGGCCATAGTGAACTTCAGGTAGAAAAACATGGCATGGTATTTGGTTGAAGACAAAATACAAAACATAACAAGATAATGATCAACCAAAAGATGTTCCGAATATCCAATGTGCGGTTATTATGGATACGTTGTATTATATTCCTGTATCACTGTAGGACTTTTAACATCATAAATTTACAAAGTGTAACAGCTTGAACAGTAGTTTTATCATTTGTCATTATGTCAACACCATATAGCCGTATAATACTACATCAGAAAACAGTTCAGTAGTCTTTGATGGATCATATCAATTAGCAATATTGTATCAAAATATTGCCTACTGCAGTACAGTATAATGGTATGGATATATACTGACTAAATATTGACAAATACCTACCAATGTTTACATATCTGTCACCGATTTATATCCAAAATATTAATTTTAATCGACAACAAACAAAACTAAGGAGTGAAATATGCATAATTCAACTGTTTCTAGCCTTATTGAGTATCATAGTCTTCTTGAATTTTTATTAACATATAGTTCTAAGGTGAATATCGTCTGTCTACCGGCCGGTGAGTTTTATAATTTTAGGGCCACGTCAGGTCATAGCAACTTTTTAAAGCCTTATGAAAGTAATGTTTTCAGCAGAATTCTATTTGCCAACTTACCTGCGACAGATCTACTTTTCCACATTTTAAGTAGCAATATTAAAATTGCTAATAAATGGGACATATCCCCTGCAAGCCTAAAAATATTCATCTTGGCTATGTGCTGCTACTTCCACGTTCCTACAATGGCGGCTGAGGACGTGGCTGGCGCTGACACGCAATGCGGTAAGTAACTCCTCTATGGGGAGATAACTCGTGTCAAACTTTACGGTGGTGAGACCTTAACATTAGATTTATTAGGAAATATATCTACAATTATTTGAACTTGTACCTACAAAAAATTGCAACTTTGTTAAGTTAGTGACGGTAAATGCAGATCGACTGAGAAGATTTCAATAATCACATTCAAATAATAATTTCATATCAGCACGGAATTAGATTTAGATTGCTATCCAAGTCCATGATATCAGTCAATAAGCAGAGTGACCATGTCATAAGTTATAAATCCGAGATAACCCATCATGTTATTATTGCAACATATAATTTCCGTTTAGCATGTTCAATGTACGGGGCATGCACGTTCGGCCAACCAATCTTCCGACATTGATACAGGGGCAAGTTCGGCCCATGAAACACATAGAAGAAGTCGTGACCTACATGTAGGTTCGAAAATCTGACGTCGCATGCTTTATGACGTCAAAATTATACTTACCCCGAAATTGGTCCAGGACGGGCACATTCGGCCGTCCAATCTTCCAACAGAACAAAAGGCCCATGGGCCTTAACGGTCATCTGAGTACTACAGTATTTATTTCTGTTGTTGAAATATGCACGGTACCAATTTGAGTAAAAATTAGTTAAGTCAGTATAACGTTAACTAAAGATTGTCACGACCATGAGCTGATCATTCTTAGACCGAGTTTCAGTTAAATCGGCATATTAGAACTTGTTTTTAAGTTTGAAATAGTTATTTTCAAAATAGCGGCCAGGGCAGCCAAATTGGATTTCTGATCGACCCGAAAAATAACAACACTTTGTCAGGACCATAAGTCAATCATTCCTACCAAGTGTCAGTTCAATCGGCCTAGCAGAACTTGACTTTAATTTTTTTCTTTTTTCTTTTCAAAATGGCGGCCGTGACGGCCATATTGGATTTCTGATCGACCCAAAAAATAACAACACTTTGTCAGGACCATGAGTCGATCTTTCCTATTAGGTTACAGTTCAATCGGCCCAGTAGAACTTGACTTTAAGTTTGAAATAGTTTTTTTTCAAAATGGCGGCCATGTTGGCCATATTGGATTTCTGATCGACCCGAAAAATTACAACACTTTGTCAGGACCATGAGTCGATCATTCCTATTAAGTTTCAGTGCAATCGGCCCAGTAGAACTTACAGTATTTATTTCTGTTGTTGAAATATGTACCAATTTGAGTAAAAATTCGTTAAGTATCGGCATATTATAACTTGTTTTTAAGTTTGAAATAGTTATTTTCAAAATAGTGGCCAGGGCAGGACCATGAGTCGATCATTCCTACCAAGTTTCAGTTCAATCGGCCCAGCAGAACTTGACTTTAAGTTTAAAATAGTTTTTCAAAATGGCGGCCGTGGCTGCCATATTGGATTTCTGATCGACCCGAAAAATAACAACACTTGGTCACGGAGATGTCAGTAACCTTCCCATGAAATATTAATGAATCCCTTGCCAGTATTTCAGCTTAAGTTGAAAATGTAAAATGTTAACGGACGACGGACGACGCACGACGGACGAAGACGGATAGCAATAGTCACTTGAGCTAAAGCTCAGGTGACCTAAACAGTTAAATAATTCTTCAAATGCGGATGTGTTTGCCCTTTGTGATTATTTAATGACAGGCACGGAGTGTCTCTTTCAAATGTTGTAAATAGACATACATATCAACAAATGTCATATTGCCAAGAACGACTTAAATACAAATGGGCCGAATTTGCCTCAGTCTCCCCTAACTGTATTATTTTAAAAGGGTTACATTCAGGCCTGAAATCTATGGAACGCCAAAGTAACACATATTCAAATAATTTTACCTATCTTTAAATAGTTGAAAACAAGTCCAATTCAATTGAAGTAAGGTACAATTCAATTGAAGTAAGGTTCAATTTAATTGGAGATAGGTTCAATTCAATTGAAGATAGGTTCAAAAAAGAAAAATTAAAACCTATTCAATTGAATTGAACCTATTTTCAAATAATTGTACCTATCTTCAAAGAATTGAAGATAGGTTCAATTCAATTGAAGATTCAATTAAGTTTAAGATAGGTTCAATTCAATTGAGGATATAGGTTCAATTCAATCATACCTATCTTTAAATAATTAAAAATTAAAGATATTCAATTGAATTCAACTTTCTGTAACAAGAGAAAGAGAAATACAGGACCAGACCGGGATTCGGACCCCGGACCGTCCGAAATCTAGAGAGAAATTATATCCAATTGAACTACTTGATCGGTCAACCCAGTCCATTTCAGGAATTGTTCTTCTGACATGAATGCCCCCGCCCCGACCTCAAAAAGGAAGTTAAAGAAAGGTTCAACAGCGTGGTATATGGTCAATCTTGATACCACAAGTGTTACGCTCACTTACGCAGAGAGCGTATACACATGTGAGCGTAATCCCTGGATATGCAATACCTAAAAATTAAGCAACAGCTAACATCAGTTAAAAGAGAAACCTCAATTTACAGATTTACCTTGATCCGGATGGCCGGGAAATGAGCTTAAAGCTCGTATTGGCCCCGATTCATTTTTGCGTGAACGTGCACGCAATTCACAGGAAAGAATTCTGACAATGAACTACAATCTTAGTCTGTTGTTTAATTCTATTCATGTACCATAGTGAATTAATTTGTTGAAATGAAACCAGATAACCAAGTTATGTGCCGATGACCTGTTCCTATCTCTCTGTCAATGGTCATTACCTATAGCTACCGATGTACCGAGGGCTATTTACTAGCTAACTATAGGTAATAGGTAGCTAGGTAAATTCTTAGTACGAATAAGCTATGTCCATTGGACCAATGTCTACTTTGTCCTAGACTCAGTTATAACCGGAACAAGGACGTAAAGCCCCATCAATCAACCAATGACTACTAACCTAGCAAGCTATGCACCGTGTATTAACACCTTAGTGGTGGTTATCTTGTTTAACGCGAATATGTATCGTTCAAACCCAATCCTTATCTCGTTAAAGCGCATTATTTATCTCGTCTTTAGAAACGCAATTACTATCGTAAAGTGTCACTGGCTAATTCGTATATTAAACGCGATAGTTATCCCAACACTTATATTACAATACGCAATCCAAAGTTCATTATTTAGAGCACAGAAACACAAAAAAGTGAAGCGATCAATGTAATAATATGATAGCGTTTGAGAAATTGTAAAATTAAAGTAAACTCAAATTGATGTTCACTTATTCTAACTGGAAAAAGTTCCTCTTTTAGTTTGAGTGTCGGTGATCTACTTGAGGTGCCGATACTGCAATGACAAACTTGACAAAGGGCAGTTAGTTTTATATTCTTAGTTCTCTTTTCCTTCCTGGTCATATGCCCCTTAGTATAGTTTGACGTATAATTAATTCATTTAATTAAATTATTTATTAATCTATTTATATATTTCCAATGCGAGAATATAATTTTACAAGTGTGTGAGATTTGATTTGATTTACTATTATTGAAGCTATTAGCCTGATCAATAACCCGCTTTTTACGCGTTCAAATGAGAAAAAAGTTTTTTTCTCAAACTTTGAAATGCTGTTGACACATGTAGTACGTACACAAAGTAGCCAGTATACATGCATTTCATAATGAAGTCTTGGTCATATCGGTGTTCAAGCTATGACACTTTGTACTGTCGTATGGTCAGACCAGAGACGTATATATTATTTGCTTTATACTTCTATGTTTAGACTAAGTTTTATAGGAGAATTCGATTTTTTTTATCTATGTGATACCATTCGAGGCCAGTTTCAACAAAATTGGTCAGAGTTATCGCTCTTTGTCCGCAAGATGATAAAACCAAGCGGAATAATGCCTTTTTATTTTAATGCATACATGGACGAAAACAGACATTTGCCGTCTTTGTTATGGTATATATGCAAATGGACATGGCTACTATGGAAAGCTAGTGTAACCTATCATTTATACATTAGAAATATTTCAATGGAATATGCTAGGCAGTTATGATATTGGTAGGTTATAACGTTCACAAGCGTTAACTTCAGATGTTATGGAGTCTAAAGTGTGATCCTTTTGCGTTAACTTTTAACGAGAAACGCGTAACGCACTCTGCAGGCTAACTTTAACTGGGAAAGGGTAAGGTTGTGCATATATAGATATACAGGTTTTTTCATGGACCCAATACATTTCCGTATACCCCCTGCAAGTGACTATGTAACTAATAATATACGTATCAGGGTTGCGTATGCGGCTTATAGCTCAATTTTCAGCTTAACATGCACGGTAATAAAGCATATAGCGTTAAATTGAATAAGAAATGTAAGGTAATGTAACTAGCAAAATGTGTTATCAGTTTTAACGGGAAACGTGGTTCAAATTTTACTTTTAATGCGTAATGTAAAATTGCCTATAACGTCAACTTTTAAAGGGTAATGAAACGTTGCCTATAGCGTCAACTTTGAATGAATAATGTAGCAGTGTCTATGGCGTCAACCTTGAATGGGTAATGTAACGTTGCCTATAGCATACACTTTAAATGGGTAATGTAACATTGTCTATAGCGTTAACTTTTCAGGGTAATGTAACATTGCCTAAAGCATAAACTTGTAACGGGTAATGTAATATTGCTATAGCGTGAACTGTTAATGGGTAATGTAACGATGTGTATACAACTTCGAAAGGATAATGTAGCAGTGTCTGTAGCGTTCACCTTGAATTGGTAATGTAACGTTGCCTATACAGTAAATTTTTAATGGGTAATGTAACATTGCCTATAGCATAAACTTTTAATGGGTAATGCAATGTTGTCTGTAACGTTAACTTTCAATGGGTTAATGTAACGGTGCCTATATCGTCAACATTTAATGGGTATGTAACGTGGCTTATACAGTCAACTTTTAATTGGTAATGTAACATTGTCTATAGCGTCAACTTTTAAGGTTAATGTAACGTTGCCTATAACGTCAACTATTAATGGACAATGTAATATTGTCTATAGCGTCAACTTTTAATTGGTAATGTACTGTTGCCGATAGTGTCAACTTTTAACGGGTAATATAAAGTTGTCTATAGTGTCAACTTTTAATGGGTAATGTAACTTTCAACAGTAACTATTTGTTGTTCAATGTAATGTCGCATATGAACAATGTTTATCCCAGGTAGGAATATCAATAACCACAAATAACAACGATGATTAACCTTGTTGGACACTCCTGATTTTTAACAAAGAGACAAGACAAATGTCAATTTGAGAGAATAAACTTTTTAATGTCTGTGTAGTAGAGAGTAACCGGATGTACATACCTAGAAAAATGGTTCACACATTGTATTTACCCACTTACAAAAGGATGAAAAAACCTTCAATAAAATGTCATGTAATAATTTCATTCATCAAGAAACAGCTTGTTTAAAAACAGGAAAAGAAAGAAAAATCCTTAAAAATAACATTCAACAACTCTGTCAACATCGTGAAACCAAATCTATAAGTTAAAAATTAAACTGAATATAAGATTTTTTTTGGAGATAAATTCTATTTTACTATTACAATCAAATACATAAATTCTATATATAGCTAAGATCACGCTCACACTGCCATAAGAATTCATTTGGAAAAAGTGACTTCTTGTAATACAGAACATGAAGTTCACATCTATATATACATTAGTATGTCGTTGAATTGTCCATTATTTATTAATCATTAGCATGTATTTAAATATATAATAAATAATCACCAAAACCATTTAATATAAATAATTTCATAAAAGTAGGAAAGGTAAACATAGAGTAATCTAACCTAGAAGTGTATATGTGTTAATAGAGAATTCTATTCTACCATTAAATGCAAATATTACATGAATAACCTGAAACTATTGTTCTTTTTCCTTGTCAAGAAATGTGTTTAGGTAATTGTACTGATGGAATGGGATACACTGTGGTAACCAGGCCATCCTAGCTAGGTTTTAGTCTAGGCAGATGTGTTAGGTACAGCTTGTACCTGAGGTACACTATCTATATTATAGGTACAGCTGGTACCCAAGGTACACAAGCTATAGTCTAGGTACAGCTGGTACCCAATGTACACTGGTGATAGTCTAGGTACAGCTGGTACCCAAGGTACACTGGTGATAGTCCAGGTACAGCACGTACCCAAGGTACACTGGCTATAGTCTAGGTACAGCTAGTACCCAAGGTACACTGGTGATAGTCTAGGCTCAGCTGGTACCCAAGATACACGGGTGATAGTCTGGGTACAGGTGGTACCCAAGGGACACTGGTGATAGTCCAGGTACAGGTGGGACCCAAGGTACACTGGCGATAGTCTAGGTACAGCTAGTACCCAATGTACACTGGTGATAGTCTAGGTACAGCTAGTACCCAATGTACACTGGTGATAGTCTAGGTACAGCTGGTACCCAATGTTCACTGGTGATAGTCTAGGTACAGCTAGTACCCAATGTACACTGGTGATAGTCTAGGTACAGCTAGTACCCAATGTACACTGGTGATAGTCTAGGCTCAGCTGGTACCCAAGGAACACAAGCTATAGTCTAGGTACAGTTGGTACCCAAGGTACACTGGCGATAGTCTAGGTATATAGGTTAGGTATAGCATGGTACCTAAGGTACACTGGTGATAGTCCAGGTACAGGTGGTACCCAAGGTACACTGGTTATAGTCCAGGTACAGGTGGTACCCAAGGTACACTGGTGATAGTCCAGGTACAGTTGGTACCCAAGGTACAATGGCTAGTCTAGGTACAGCTGGTACCCAAGGTACACTGGTGATAGTCCAGGTACAGCACGTACCCAAGGTACACAGGTGATAGTCCAGGCTCAGCTGGTACCCAAGATACACTGGTGATAGTCTGGGTACAGGTGGTACCCAAGGTACACTGGTGATAGTCCAGGTACAGGTGGTACCCAAGGTACACTGGCGATAGTCTAGGTACAACTGGTGATAGTGTAGGTAGATGGGTGAAGTACAGCCTGGTACCTAAGGTACACTGGTGATAGTGTAGGTATATAGGTTAGGTATAGCCTGGTACCTAAGGTACACTGGTGATAGTGTAGGTAGATGGGTTAGGTACAACATGGTACTTAAGGTACACTGGTTAGAGGTACACGATGGAGGTACACAGGGATACAGAATTCTCAATATTTTACAGGAGCTACAGATGTTTTGGAGACAGCCAATTGCCTTCAAGCTTGACAATCCACACTTTTAATCCTTTGCCTTATGTAACTTTACCATTTATCCAAAAGTTTATACATGAATATACTGTACAGTGCTTTCATTTTGAAGTTGTTCAATTAAAGTAAATTTACAGAATTTTAGTTCAAAGGAACTATATTCTCTTTCAAAAGGCAACTAATTTGCAGGATTTACTTTTTTCGACATGACTGAAGCTTTGATAAATTATTTCTAAAAAGAAACCATACCTTGCCAGACTTTTATGAATAAATAACGAAAATGAAATAAACAAAATATGATAAACAAGTGTTATAAATATAAAAAGAATTAGCTAGGCTATAAACCGTATTTGAACCCTGGACTGTAAATTGTTGTACTATCGCTCTTACCGACCGAGTTACCTGGTCATCAAAAGCCTCCTGGCCCTAATGTGCTACAGTTTTATCCTAAACGAAATTAAGGGGAGGTTACTGCATATACAGAAGTTCACAGTGCAGTGGTACAGTGATTGTTAACTTTCACTTTCCATTCTCAACAAGATATCCCTTATCAGCAAGTGTTACGTATAGGGTCGGTAAAAAGTTGGTCTCGGATTAGTCGAGTCCAGGTAAATAGATTCTACGTATCAGAAAGCATGTACAGTATACACAAGTACAGGTTTACCTTTCTTAGATGGAGTTTTTATAACATAGACCGGACATTTTGGAAAACAAGTCCTTGAGCAGGTCTAAGGTAAGCTATATCACACAGTGGCAGTGTGAGCACTGAGGTGAAACCAATAAAACTGAAACAAGGAAATGTGTATCACACAAATATTAAAGAAAAAATCTGGTGATGTATGGGGACCATTTCATTTCACATGTTATTGTGTTTGAACAGTTTATGGTCACCAAAGCAACCACAATTAGCACTTCAGTTTCTTATGGTACATATCACGAGAAAAACCATGGTCACCATAGAAACCAATCTGTCACACTGTGATTTCGGGTGTCACCATTGGAAAACCCATCGCCGAAACAGTTGCGATAAACATAGGAACTATTAAGTAAAATGTTATCACACCAAAGTCTATCTCAAAAGCACTCTCTTCACGAAAAAAATCAACCCTTACTGAATACTAAAACATTAGCTGTAGAAGTGCTGGGTTGAAGACATGGTTGACACACACACAGGCCAGTTAATGCTCTTAGAGGAAATTAAACATAACCCCACAATGTGCACACTACACTACAGTGCAAGGCATACATCACTAAGATCTACTAGTCACAAACTGAAGCCTACAGGGAACACTGTACAGGTTCCAGTGTTATCCTAATTGCCCTGGTTATGTAGAACTATACATGCTACCATGGACAGATCTACGGGGAGTTTGTCACAAATGTTAAAGACAATGCAAAAATGGACCATTTGAAAAAGGCCTTTTTTTAATGGATTAAAGACAGGAAAAAGTAGTAAAGTTAAATACTTCAGAATTATTTTACAAACATGGACATGGGTAATGACAGAAAGGAAGCAGTCTACACATACAAGCCATGACGGATACTTAGTGCTGAAGCATATGACCTACCAAAACTCGAAAGTATCAGGATGGGATCTAGGGATGAAATCATAGATATAATGCTACAAAGACAATACTTCAGATGTAATTGTGTATTTTAAGTACACAAAGTTTCATAAAGTTTAAAGTTTTTTTGTTGTTTTTTTGTAAATGCTGAAAACCACTCATATCATCAGTTAAATAATAACCTCAACTGAAAATCTGAAATAGTATTGCAGCTGTTCCCTGAGTGTAGTCTACATCTAAATAAAATCACCTCTTTTTTACTGACTGAAAAAAACTCAGCAGTCTTTATTAAAACAAGTTCACAAAGATTCTCAACACTCAGCATTCTGGTACAAACATTTTGGTTAAGAGGAAATTTGAGGGAATTGATCGCAATCACACAGCAGGTTGGTAAGATCTGTCGAGTATAAAAATCCTGACTGTACCTTTACAGTTGGATCATAACCAACTGACTGCAAACTCAAAAATAACCCTACAGAAGGTAATCAATCATCATGCTATCACAAAATTGGTGTTCAGCATTTTGTATTTGGTATTTTATTTAACAACATCAAAACAAAATTCAACATTACACTGAAGATGAATTTTTGCAATCTCAAATCTTTCTATCAATAACACGTGAAATCATGTTAAGGGCTTGCCTGATAGTGAGAGACATATTATGCTAATCTTTCCCGATGTTCCTTTTTTTCTCTCTACGAGTAATTAAATTATGGAACAGTCTTCCAGAGGATGTGATATCAGCACCATCAATAAATACATTTGAAACAGACTCAATAAACACTGGATTGATTAAGAACTAAAAGATAATTACAGAGCTAGCTTTGTAAACATGTGATGTCCATAACCAACCTTCCATATAGGTGTACTGTACAAGTAGTACATGTTTAAGTCTGGTGTAGAGGACCATACTGATCATGCATTGGGAAATTTACTTAACTTTTAACTTGTCTTCAGGGTTTAATTATCATCATAATATTGTCTATTAACTTAAAATTAGAACAGATCATATCTATTATGTACAACACCTGTTTTTCCCTTAAATGTTAAGGAGCTTGATAAGAAGTTCTACACTTCTCTCCTAATGCTATACCGTATGTGTTTGCTACCAATAACTGTATCAATCGTGAACTGTAGAACTTCATCATGGTGCTAAGGAAGTGATCCAATGAATGAAGGTGTTTACTGGATAGTTCTGATTTACGTATATCAGCCGAGACATGGGTTTTATAGATGATTTTCATGGGTGAGGTTACAATTCTCTCAATATAGATGGGATATTTTAGTACATTGGCAGTATATTATAAACATGAATTTCTTTTGTATATCAACATTGGTAGACTTGACTGAGGCTGACAAGACACACCCAAAAGGGGCTAAATGATGTTAGTACCCACCACCATAATGTTACAAACAGCAACTAGCCATTCAATGCACATGTCAACATAGGAATAGAAACTTGCTACAGGTTAGACTGCTGTCTACTTTAGTAGCCAATACTAGAGGAGTAGGTAGGGGGGGATGTTATGCTCAAACATGTAGTTCAAGGTGATTTTAGTCAAGGACCCTTGATACACCAGTTTTTAATGTGTATCATGTAACTAACACAATCTTAGGATGGATCAAATCTTAGATTGTACAATAACTTTTGTGGGTGGGATAACTTGTAAATGTCTTAAGTTCAATTAATATATCAAAACAATTTCACACGGTTCCCTGTGATCAATTGATGAACAGTTATCAGTTCCCATAGCAAAAACTTGTCAAAAGAAATTCAAAACTTACAACAGAGAGGGGAAAATATCACAAAGATAGCTGCTGCTGAGAGTTAGCGGTGGTAAGTGTTCAGAATTATAGAATCGGAGGTATTTCCATTTTTTGAAAATTTAATTTTGATTTTTTTCAATGTTAAAAAAATCACTTGTTCCAAATGTGTCATAGAATATTGAATTTCATATACATATATACACAATTCATGACAATTTTTTTATATATATATCTGGGTATATGTAATATACCTCATCACCACAATTACAAGGCGTATATTTTCTATAATAATTCAATCTCTTAATTAAACAGTGATGAGGAAGTGCAGGGGCCATTGGCCATGGTGCATTCAGTATTTAAATGGCACATACTTTTAACTTTTGAGAAATTTTATGATCTATAAGAACCAGCTCACTGAAATAGTTTAATTAATGGAAAATGGCTCATTGTTTCGTGCAGCATTCCTCATCACTGTTAATAACAATAATGATTTAAATCTGCTAACAAAATTGTAAATATATGTGAGGACTTAACATTTGTGAACGAAATTTCTCCTTTTTGCATTTAAATGCAGATTTAAAAAAAAAATCCCCGTATAATTAAATAATCAAGATAAACATGTACAAATCATTCCAGAAGATCAAAATGCTTTATAACCAATATCTTCTGTTGCGTGTGTAACATTTGTGTGTGTGAGTGTTACGACCTGCTCCAAAAAGTCATATTGTACTTCACAAACCTAATCATACAGTCAAATGTTCAAACAAATTGTCATCTGGTATCTAAGTTTATGCTTATACTTGTCAGTTTTTGAAATGATTGAAATTTGAGCTGAACGTGTAATAAAGCTGATGAAAACAAATACAACTGGCCCAGGGCACAGGTTCTACTACCCTCACATTTCTCAGATTCCAGAGACTCAAAAATAGCAATGAATTATAAAACTTCATGTTGCTGTACCCTATACAAACATATTTAGATTTCCAAAGCTCCAATGGCTATTCTAAAGCTAAAGTATTATCAGGGAAGTCATTTGACATGAAAACCCTTTTCAAGTGCAATTGGTCGAAGGTACAAATTAAATCAAACATATCTTTCTAACGTATAAACACAGAGACAAAACAAGGATCAGATTTGGATGTGATGGAGACTAAACAAAACTTTCTCTTACATAAACAATACTCATCATACAAAAGGAAATGATATGCTTTGTCCATGATGTGAATCAGTTGAACTCAACAGAGTGTTGATGAGGCAGGCTAAATCTCTTTTATCGGAAGCCGTTTCTGGAGAGGATCTCTCAGGCGTCTGAGGTCTTGCTGTACCTCAGAGATGGCGTCCATGACCTCATTGTATCTTTTTACATCCAATTTCTGCTTTCTTGCGAATTTATAAAATCCCAAGAGGTATTGCCTATCTTTGACTTCAATAAAATTGTATTCCTGGAAAGTAGAAAAATTTGATTATTACATAAAATAAGTTCTAGTTCTGGCTTTCATCTTTGAGTTATTTCCCTTCAGTTAGAGATACAAATTCACTTCACCATGTCCTTAAATGTGTAAAAAGTTAAGTAAATTGGATCTAGAAACTGATAACAGACTGTATAAAAACAACATTTCCATGTAACAAACTCTTAATGATGACAAAGTAGGAGTACATGGCAAAGATTAACTACCTCTTTAGTGATGACAAAGTAGGAGTACATGACAAAGATTAACTACCTCTTTAGTGATGACAAAGTAGGCATACATGACGAAGATTAACTTCCTCTTTAGTGATGACAAAGTAGGCATACATGATAAAGATGAACTACCTCTTTAGTGATGACAAAGTAGGAGTACATGACAAAGATTAACTACCTCTTTAGTGATGACAAAGTAGGCATACATGACGAAGATTAACTTCCTCTTTAGTGATGACAAAGTAGGCATACATGATAAAGATGAACTACCTCTTTAGTGATGACAAAGTAGGAGTACATGACAAAGATTAACTACCTCTTTAGTGATGACAAAGTAGGCATACATGATAAAGATGAACTACCTCTTTAGTGATGACAAAGTAGGCATACATGACGAAGATGACCTAACTCTTTAGTGATGACAAAGTAGGAGTACATGACAAAGATGAACTACCTCTTTAGTGATGACAAAGTAGGCATACATGACGAAGATGAACTACCTCTTCAGTGATGACAAAGTAGGCGTACATGTCGAAGATGAACTACCTCTTCAGTGATGACAAAGTAGGCGTACATGACGAAGATGACCTAACTCTTTAGTGATGACAAAGTAGGAGTACATGACAAAGATGAACTACCTCTTTAGTGATGACAAAGTAGGCATACATGACGAAGATGAACTACCTCTTTAGTGATGACAAAGTAGGCGTACATGACAAAGATGACCTAACTCTTTAGTGATGACAAAGTAGGCGTACATGTCGAAGATGACTTACCTCTTTAGTATTGACAAAGTAGGAGTACATGACAAAGATAACCTACCTCTTTAGTGATGACAAAGTAGGCATACATGACAAAGATAACCTACCTCTTTAGTGATGACAAAGTAGGCGTACATGACAAAGATAACCTACCTCTTTAGTGATGACAAAGTAGGAGTACATGACAAAGATGAACTACCTCTTTAGTGATGACAAAGTAGGCGTACATGACAAAGATGACCTAACTCTTTAGTGATGACAAAGTAGGCGTAAATGACAAAAAGATGATTTTACCTCTTTAGTAGGCGTACATGACAAAGATAACCTACCTCTTTAGTGATGACAAAGTAGGCATACATGGCCACGGCTGTGCCATAGGTAATGAAGTAGGTGACAGGCTCCATGATATCCCAGGAATAGTCCCACCAAGTGAGTCGAGCTAACAACCCAAACTGGACCCCCATCAGACCAAGTCCAACCCAGCCCAGGTTCACAGTGCGTTTGTTGGCTTTTGTCTCCAGCTCTTTCCGTAGCTAGTAGGAAAATTATAACCAAAAATAAGATTTGAAAACATGAAGAAAGAGCAAATTCTTACAAAAGCAAGGCATTGCAAATGATACAAATCCTGCACAACAGTCTGTTAGAGAATACATATACCTTAGATACTGTTAGTACCTAGACCACTTTCTTATCTGTATAATTCTAAATCTATAAATATTGAAGCTTTCTGTAGGAAAGTGATCAGAAGAAAAACCTAACCATAACACCGGGTATTTGGCATATAAGCACAAAGTTCCATTTTCAATGAAATAAGGCAGAAAATCTTATCCTGACCTTAATACATGTAATAACATGCCGAAACAAAAAAAATCATAGGCGTATGAAGTTAAATCGAAATATATTGAGAAATGAAGTCCCTTGAGTGGTGAAAATGATTTTCTATCAATTATCTTGGTGATTTTGACCTTAAATTGGCACCATGAAGCACACTCACTCCAGGTTAGTTGTTACTATTGTATGAAGTATATCAAACTCCATATTGAACTGATGTCACTACAGTTATTTATGTGACTCACAAACACATAGTTAAGCATCTGTCATCCTCAAAAGTGGATAAATGTAATTTAATCAAACTTGATAGCATGCAAGGCAGCACTACAGAGTTAATGTTATAATTCTACACTTAACAGATCTTTGTCGAAAGATTAACTCTAGCTACCTTCAAAGCTTGTCAGGGACATCTACATCAGAACAAGGCCAAATGTTACTGCTTTAGGCTTTAGTGACCTTTAGAAGTCATTTAAAGATTTTGACCCCTGGTCAAAACAGTTGGCCAATGTCATTTATTAGGACAAAACAAACAGTTCTTAACACTAACAATCTAAAGGCCTAATATTATTACTCTAGTCTCCACAGATCTAATATTATTACTCTAGTCTCCACTATTACTCTAGTCTTCACAGATCTAATATTACTACTCTAGTCTTCACAGGCCTAATATTATTACTCTAGTCTCCACAGATCTAATATTATTACTCTAGTCTTCACAGGCCTAATATTTTTACTCTAGTCTCTACAGATCTAATATTATTACTGTAGTCTTCACAGGCCTAATAATATTACTCTAGTCTTCACAGGCCTAATATTATTACTGTAGTCTTCACATATCTAATATTATTACTGTAGTCTTCACAGGCCTATTATTATTACTCTAGTTTCCACAGATCTAATATTATTACTCTAGTCTTCACAGGCCTAATATTATTACTCTAGTCTTCACAGATCTAATATTATTACTGTAGTCTTCACAGGCCTAATATTATTACTCTAGTTTCCACAGATCTAATATTATTACTCTAGTCTTCACAGGCCTAATATTATTACTGTAGTCTTCACAGATCTAATATTCTTACTCTAGTCTTCACAGGCCTAATATTATTACTCTAGTCTAAACAGATCTAATATTATTACTCTAGTCTTCACAGGCCTAATATTATTACTCTAGTCTTCACAGATCTTAATAAGCCATCAGGAGATGTTAACACATTTTATATCTGCGATCATGGAAATTAACTAAGGTCATTAATCTGAAAAAAAATGATAGCCCTTCACACCAGCAGAATACAGACCAAAATTACTTGTGTAAGATCTCAAAACATTTTACCCAATTAGCTTGACAGCATGTCAAGGTCATTCATTTGAACAAACTTGACAACTTCACTATAGGCCCGAATCATTACCCGGGGTCACTTGGTTGTTAAGGAAAAGTTGTTAAAATATTTCAAGATACTCAACTCCTGTTATATTCATTGATCCCTTTATTCCAGCAAGCTGCAAGCCATTTATCAAGACTCTATGACCTATGGATTTTAAGAAGGAGCTGATACTGTACAGACAATGGACCAAGCACCATCACATACTGGTAAGTAAACAGGCACTTTGTGCCAGGTGTGTTAAAAATATATTGAGTTACCTATTAAGGACCTATTCGTTTAGAATGTGGTTGGAGTACCAGACTTACTTTTTTTGCAAATTTTATTATTTTCATGACTTTTCAGAATGCAACCAGAAAAAAATGTTTTGGTTTTGGTAGTATACCCGGGTTAAACAGCCTAGTAGATCAATGAAACTAAGATGGTATCTTCAAAGTTGTCTAAGTTGCCCTGTGATGATCATGTTGATATGTTTGTGATCCTGTGTAATTTTTCTATCACCAATAGTTTTCAGAGTTACTTCCCCTTAGTCATATCCCTTCAGAACAAAAATATTCCATCCATAATTCATTAACAACATTTCCAAATTGATTTCTATATGTATGGCTATGATTAATTAATTTGTAATGATAAATAAATAAAGCATATGTTCTTCAGAGACTTGTGTAGGGTGTATTTGTTGTAGCCTGCCTTGTCCATAACATAATGGTGTCCATTAACCAAGCATGGTATTCTGGTTACTCCATATCAACAATTCGAACATATCACTAGTAATTAAAAGTACAGTGTGACAAACTAATGTGTTCATACACACAAGTTTGTGTGTACAACAAAATCCTGTTCTGACACATTTAGTTCATTGTCGTCTTCTCCTGGGGATTTACATTTTCCATAATGTTGTGCGAACGTATCTTTTCCCGGCAGCTAACAATAGAAAATAGTAGACGATTATGTTGACATATTTAATTTCAAATGGAAATAGATTTTTTTTAGAGGAAGTAACTTACCTTATCCATGGGAGCTAACTCCTCTTTGAGATCCTCTAGCTGTTGTAGTAATAACTTCTCTTTCTCTACCTGGTACTGGTCTATGTGGAGTCTACAGTACAGGTCAGAGATCAAAGTCTTCATATCCGACATTTCTGCTATATGTTCACTTGGTAGCGCTTCTGCAAACACATAAAAAAATAATTCATTGCAATTTACACAACAATATAGACCATTCAACAGGCTCAACTGTAGGTGTATGCATAATGTAACATAGTATTGACTAGTGTATCAAATCTGGGGAGCTATTTTGGTGCTAATTATTCCTTTTAGTCCAACAATGCAGCACTTGCTCTTAGGTACGGACAATTTTTGTCTTGTTTTATAGGGCTACACTCATGTATAATTTAACTGGATCGAAACGCAGGATTTGCCCCAGAAGAGTTACTCTGTACCAGATAGAACAAACCTATATATTTGGTTGTTTAGTTAAAACAAGAGGCCCAAGGGCCTTAGCGGTCACCTGAGTTATATCATAGATACTGGTAGCTTTATTTTATTGTTTAGATGTGATGTGGAAATCAGCATGTAAACTAAGTGAAATACAATACTTGTCATGTCATCAATGGATAAGAATTTGAAAATATTGGTAAATGTTCCCTTTGGGGCCCCGCCCTAGCCCCTGGGGATGGGGCAGGAATCCTAATTTTACAAAGTAAAACTCTCATTTACCCAAGATGATTCTGACTAAGTTTGAGCAATTTTCTGCTGAAAAT